CCAATGAGCCACTAATGTCGGCCCAACTCAGCTATTTTTTTTTTTTTTGACAGGGTCTCACTCTGTCACCCAGGGCTGGCAGTGGCAGTGGGGCGATCTCGGCTACACTACAACCTATCTGCCTCCCCGGGGTTCGGGTTCAAGCGATCCTACTGCCTCAGGCCTCCTGAGTAGCTGGGACTACAGGCGTGAGCCACCACGCCCGGCTAGTTTTGCATTTTTTTAGTAGAGACGGCTTTCACCAAGTTGGCCAGGCTGGTTCTGACCTCCTGACCTGAAGTGATCCCCCGCACCCAGCCCCAGGGCCCTGATTAACCAGACAAAGCACTCAACACTGGAAGTGAAATCTCAGCCCATTTATCCCTCCATCCAGAGTGAATGAACAAATAAATACACTATTCTCCACTCCACTCACTGGCAGAATTTCCCTTTAGTGCTGTCTTTTAGGGGCTCCCCTGAGGAGAGCTGTGGTACAGCACCGTCCTTTTTGGTGCCAGTGTATCATCTGACCCTCTGGGAACCACGGTCCCTGGGAAGGCAGCCAGACGACGGCAGCAGCTCATCCCTCAAGGCGCAGAGCTTTCACGGGACTTCCTCTGGCCCCTGACCCCCCAGCCTGTGCCCAGCTCTGGGCAACCTCAGAGGCCCCAGGCCCAGGCCACAGCCGTGGGCAGAGTGGCCGGTGCAGCCCAGCAGCCATGTCAGGTGAGCCGGAGCTGAGGGCGGAGTGGAGGAGCGGGCCCGGGGAGGGGCCTGCCACAGGTGTGAGGGTGGGGACCGCTCTGCTTCTGACTCCGGGCTCCCACAAGCTGGCCAGGTGGGGTGCTGCGTGTTTCTGCCGCCCAGTGCTGTGTGTCTTCAGGCAGGGCCCTGGACTTGTCTGAGCCAAGCCCCTCTGGATCCTGTGTGACTCAGGGAGACGCGTTGAGCTCTGGGTGGTGGGCAAGGGTCCTGCAGGGGTTTGGGGCCCCGTTCCCGTAAGCTCCAATGGGAGCCGGACCCCAAGGGGCGAACTCCCAAGACACCTCCTTGCAGAGCCGGCCAACAGTGGCCCCTCAGGGGCATCGGGCCCTTCCCAGCTGAGCGCCATCACCCTGGAAGACCTGGGGCTCCTCCTGGCAGGAGACCTGACCAGCCCCGAGACCTTGAGCCTGGAGGAGCTCTCGGAGAGGTATGAGTCCAGCCACCCGCCATCCACGGCCTCTGTCCCTGAGCAGGACACCGCCAAACGCTGGAACCAGCTGGAGCAGTGGTGAGCCCTGCGGGGGACGCTGGGGTGGGAGGACCACACCGCGCCGCCGCCTCAGCCTCTGTCTCCACGGCAGTCACCGCCAGACTCGCCCACTCTCGCCCTGGCCAGCGTGGTGGAGCTGCAGGCTGAGGTGGCGCCTCTGTCTCCACGGCGGTCACCGCCAGACTCGCCCACTCTCGCCCTGGCCAGGGTGGTGGAGCTGCAGGCCGAGGTGGCGTGCCTGCGGGAGCACAAGCAGCGCTGTGAGCGCACCACACGGAGCCTGCTGCGGGAGCTGCTCCAGGTGCGGGCCCGCGTGCAGCTACAGGGCTCAGAGCTGAGGCAGCTGCAGCAGGAGGTGCGGCCGGCAGCCCAGGCCCCTGAGAAGGAGGCGCCGGAGGTGAGCGGCTCCCTCACCCGCACGTCGAGCTGCCCCTTTCCTGGGTGTTGGGGGCAGCTGCTTCTGGGCCTGGAGCCCAGCTCACCCCTGCTGTCCAGGCCCAGAGCTCCCAGGGGCCAGTGGTGCCAGAGCTGGGTGGACTCCAGGGCCAGGTGCCAGACCCGGGCCTAGGTCCAGCCCACAGCCTCCTCTTCCTCCTCGCAGTTCTCTGGTCTCCAGAACCAGATGCAGGCCCTGGACAAAAGGTACCTCCCACACACACAGGGGCACAGGCCCGGGGCGGGGGGGCGGCGGGGGAAAGCAGTGGCAGGTGCGTTGGGGGGGATCCACATCTCCCGCGGGTGTCGCTGGAGTAAGGGATACACATCCAGGTCCAGCTAGAAAGGGCCGGGTTTGTACGTGCCTGGGCGGCCCTCAGAGGCCCAGGAAAGCCGTGGGAGGTGGCCGCAGGGGCCCCTTGGCCGAACCCACAGCCCCCAGAGGCTGCTCAGCCCCTGGGCCTCTCGGGAGTGGCTTGTTGTGTCCCAGGCTGGTGGAGGTCCGGGAAGCCTTGACTCAGCTCAGGAGGAGGCAGGCGCAGCAGGAGGCAGAGAGAAGGGGCGCCGAGCAGGAGGCCGGCCTCAGGTGGGCGCCCACCGCCCGCGGCTGGCTCTGGAGCTTGCCTGGGGTCGTTTGAGAGTCCCTGGCCGAGCCAAGACACGGGTCCCCCTGCCGTGTGTCCCCAGTGACCCAGCGGGGCACCCGCCCTCAGTGCCGAGTGTGCTGGGAGCCTGGGCCTGCTGCAGACCCTGCGTGGGGAAGAGACTCACAGCAGCCCTTCCCCACCACCAGTGCTGTGTTTCTCGTTCCTCTGTTTTCCTGGGGGCAGGGGGTGGGGGTCGTACACCTCCTGCCTGGCCAGCCTGTGGGTCAGCCTCACCCTGCTGGGTCCTCCGGCCAGCTGGGCTGGTGTGACTGCAGCCGGTTTCTCTAGGCTGGCCAAGCTGACCGACTTGCTGCTGCAGGAGGAGCAGGGCCGGGAGGTGGCCTGCGGCGCCCTGCAGAAGAACCAGGAGGACAGCAGCCGGAGGGTGGACCTGGAGGTGGCCAGGATGCAGGTACCACCAGACCCAGCCTTCGGTGGGGGCTGCCCAGAGGGCCGAGGAGGACACCCCAACCATCACGGCCGTGTCCATTGAAATCAGCTACAGCTGTAGACGATTTAAAACTCAGTTCCTCAGCCATACATGCCCCATTTCAAAAGCTCAGGCCAGTCGGGCGCAGTGGCTCACGCCTGTAATCCCAGCACTTTGGGAGACAAAGACAGGCAGATCACAAGGTCAAGAGTTCAAGGACCAGCCTGGCCAACGTGGCAAAACCCCATCTCTACTAAAAATACAAAAAATTAGCCGGCCGTGCTGGCGGGCTCCTGTAGTCCCAGCTACTTGGAAGGCTGAGGCAGGAGGATCGCTTGAACCCAAGAGGAGGAGGTTGCAGTGAGCCGAGATCACGCCACTGCACTCCGGCCTGGTGACAGAGTGAGACTCCATTTCAAAAAACAAAACAAAACAAAAAAAACAAAAGCTCAGGCCATGTGCAGTGGCACACGCCTGTAATCCCAGCACTTTGGCAGGCCGAGGCAGGAGGAACACTTGTGCCTGGGAAGTCAAGACCAGCCTGGGCAACACAGCAAGACCCCATCTCAAAAAATAAAAAGCTGAGTTGCCACGTGGGGCCGGCAGCTGCGCATCTGGGTGTCCTTCGTCCCAGGAAGCTGCTTGTGTCCTGCCGCCTCCACCCCTCCCCACACAGCCGGCGCCTGCCTGGATCAACAGATCGCACGCAGCCCTGAAGCCCCTTCCACGGCCACTTTCAGGCTCCACCTTTCCCTGCACGCAAAGCGGAGTTCGCCTTCCTTGACACGAGTTCCTAGAACCCGGGGTCCCACCCATGGGGCCGGAGCGGCTCCTCCTCCCGCTGTGGCCTCAGCAGGGGCCTTCGCTACGGGTGGGGAGGGGACCGGGCAGCCGCACATTTCAGCAACTCAGGTCTGAGCTCCACAAATAGAGACCGGGGACTGCAGCCAGCTCCCATGCGCATCAGGCAGTACGCTGGGTGCGGGGCCAGGACTGCCGGGACGCCCCAGCAGTCGCCCACATAGCTCTGCTACCTGGAGCTGGCAGCCTCCCTCTCACTGCCCTTTGGGAAGTTATTGAGTGGCTGTGTGGGGCAGGCAGAGGTGCTGGGCTGAGGATTCCCAAGGTGCCAGGTGTAGGGGAGCTGCCGCTCACGAGGGCGTCTGCCTTTCCCTGAGCCTGGGTGTCTGAGTGTTCTCTAGGGCCAGAGGCAGAGGGCCAGAGTCAGGCCGACCCTCGTCTCTGGTTTTGAGACGGGGTATTGCCTGGTTGCTCAGGCTGGAGTGCAGTGCTACGATCACAGCTCACTGCAGCCTCAGCCCCCCAGGTTCAAGTGACCCTCCTGCCTCAGCCTTCCAAGTTGCTAGGACTGCGGGTGCATGCCACCCTACCCAGCTAATTTTTTTTTTTTCTTTTGAGACAGAGTCTCGCTCTGTCGCCTAGGCTGGAGTGCAGTGGTGCGATCTCGGCTCACTGCAAGCTCCGCCTTCCAGGATCACGCCATTCTCCTGCCTCAGCCTCCCAAGTAGCTGGGACTACAGGTGCCTGACACCACACCTGGTTAATTTTTTGTATTTTTAGTAGAGACGGGTTTTCACCGTGTTAGCCAGGATGGTCTCGATCTCCTGACTTCGTGATCTGCCCGCCTCGGCCTCCCAAAGTGCTGGGATTACAGGCGTGAACCACGGCGCCCGGCCTGCCTGGCTAATTTTTTGATGTTTTGTAGAGACGAGGTCTCACTGTGTTGCCCAGGATGGTCTCAAACTCCTAGGCTCAAGTGATCCTCCTGCCTCAGCCTCCCCAAAAGTTTTCTTTTCTTTTCTTTTTCTTTTTTGAGACGCAGTCTCGCTCTGCCACCCAGGCTGGAGTGCAGTGGCGCTGTCTCAGCTTACTGTAAGCTCCACCTCCTGGGTTCATGCCATTCTCCTGCCTCAGCCTCCTGAGTAGCTGGAACTACAGGTGCCCACCACCATGCCCGGCTAATTTTTTTATATTTTTAGTAGAGACAGGGTTTCCCCGTGTTAGCCAGGATGATCTCGATCTCCTGACCTCATGATCTGCTTGCCTCGGCCTCCCAAAGTGTTGGGATTTCAGACGTGAGCCACCGCGCCTGGCCTTTTTTCTAATTTATTTTTTTCCCGGACAGTCTCGCTCTGTCGCCCATGTTGGAGTACAGTGGCCTGATCTCAGCTCACTGCAACCTCCATCTCCCAGGTTCAAGTGATTCTCCTGCCTCAGCCTCCAGAGTAGCTGGGATTACAGACAGCTATCCATGTCTGGCTAATTTTTGTAGTTTTAGTAGATACAGGGTTTCACCATGTTGGCCAGGCTGGTCTTGAACTCCTGACCTCAGGTGATCCACCCGCCTCGGCCTCCCAAAGTGCTGGGATTACAGGTGTGAGTCATTGTGCCAGCCACTGCTTGTTTTTGTAAATAAAGTTTTATTGGCACACAGGAACATTTTTTACACGTTGTCATTGTCTCCTGTGGGGGCTGTAACTGCCGTGCTGAGAGGGTTACAACAGAGATCCCACGAGGGTGGAACTTGTACCATCTGGCTTTTTACAGAAAAATGTCTACTCTAAGGTGGCTTCCGGGGGGCAGGAGGCCAGCAGGGGCTGGACCAGAGAGGAAGCTTCCCGGGAGGCGCCTCTCCGTGGCTGAGGAAGGGCCTGTGCCGCCTGCCTGCCCTTTGGGTGTATGAGACACAGGGACTGGGTCGGCTGCACCTCTCCTCTCCCCTCACCTTCAGACCCTCAGTGCAGCAGGAAAGCAGCTGTTGGGGTGGAGACAAGGCCCCGAGGCTCTGCCCAGCTTGCCTGGCTCCCTGTGCATGGGGACACCCGTGTGACATCCCTGCTTCCCTGTCGGGGCCTGGTGGTGGCTGGGCGGCCTTCCCTGGGCGGCATCGGTGGTGGGTGCCAAGTGTGTCTGGTCCCCACGTGAGCGTGGCCTTCCAGTGCTTCACGAACCCAAGCCTGGTCGGTCTTCTGGGTACAGAGTGGTCCTGCCTGCCCTGGCTTTCTTCTGGCTGAGGGTGTGGCGGGCCTGGCTCTGCTGGGCTCGGGGACAGCAGGGGACCCCAACTCTGATGGAGACCACAGGCAGGAAGGGGACGGGCTGCGTGTCCAGCAGAGGCTGCACACGGGACAATGTGCCTCCGCCCCAGGCCCAGGTGACCAAGCTCGGCGAAGAGGTGAGCCTGCGCTTCCTGAAGAGGGAGGCCAAGCTGTGCGGCTTCCTGCAGAAGAGCTTCCTGGCCCTGGAGAAGGTGGGAGCCTGCCCGCGGCCGGCCTGCCCCGCCCCACTTTCCAGACGCAGACCTGCGGCTGACCGTGGGGTCTCGCCACAGAGAATGAAGGCCTCGGAGAGCTCGCGGCTGAGGCTGGAGGGCAGCCTGCGGGGCGAGCTGGAGAGCCGGTGGGAGAAGCTTCGGGGGCTGATGGAGGAGCGCCTGCGGGCCCTGCAGGGGCAGCATGAGGTGGGGCCGGCCGGGCGGCGGACAGGTGGGGCTGGGGCCGGGGTGTGGGTCTCAGGGCGGCCTCCACCCCTTGGCAGGAGAGCCACCTCCTGGAGCAGTGCCAGGGCCTGGATGCCGCCGTGGCTCAGCTGACCAAGTTCGTGCAGCAGAACCAGGCATCGCTGAACCGCGTCCTGCTGGCTGAGGCGAAGGCCTGGTGGGTGTCCTGGGGCCTCAGGTGCTGTCAGGTGGGGAGACCCCCAAGTCCCACTCAGGAGGGGGCCGCGGTGGCCGACTCAGCGGGGAATGACCTTGCCTCCCCCCAGCAGAGTGCTTGACCCCGAGGGCTGCAGCCGGACAGTGCGGCTCCTCCTCCCTCCCGTGCTCCCGTGGAGCCACCCGTCCCTCACCTAGCCTGCTCTCCCTGGGGCACTCGGCTGTGGCCATGGGGAGTGAACCCCTGTCGTGGTGGCACTGTGACCGCACCCCATCTTCCGATCCCAGGGTCTCCTGGGAGGTTCCGGAGCCTGCAGCCAAGCTTCCCTCCCTAGTCCAGGGCTGAGGGGTGGACAGGCTCTGCTGAGGGCATCTATGTGTCCCCCAACCCCTAGGGATGCCAAGGGGCGCCTGGAGGAGAGCCGGGCCGGGGAGCTGGCTGCCTATGTGCAGGAGAACCTGGAGGCCGCACAGCTGGCCCGCGAGCTGGCCCGGCAGGAGATGCATGGCGAGCTGGTGCTGGTGAGGGGGTAGCGCAACATGTCCCCAACGGGGTCCCCCATGCACACAGGATGGGCGCTCACCCAGGCCTCCCCGCACCCACCTGTCCCCCTTCAGCTCCGAGAGAAAAACCGGGCTCTGGAGGCATCGGTGGCGCAGCTGGCCGGGCAGTTAAAGGAGCTGAGTGGCCGCCTCCCGGCTCTGAGCAGCCGGCTGGATCTGCAGGAGCAGATGCTGGGCCTCAGGCTGTCTGAGGTGCGCCAGGCAGCAGAGGGCAGGCAGGGCTATGGGGAGTCCCCACCCCGCCGGCTCTCAGCCCACCACTGTCCCCAGGGGAAAGGCTGGACAGGCCGGTCCCAAGCCTCCCATCACCCAGCGACTGTCCCTCAGGCCCAGGAGACCCCGAGTCCCAGAGATTCCCGTGTGGGGCGGGACGGCCACTGAGCAGCCTCAGCCCACGGCCAAGCCATGCGGGCAGCCACAGAGGGGCAGACAGGTGGCCTCCGCCCCTCCTGCTCTTGTTCACTTTGTAACAGCTCTGTTGAAACGGACTCACTCCCCACACGGTTCACCCGCGAATGCATACGGTTCCGTGAGTTCCGTGTGTCTATTCACAGTTTCAGAGCATTCCTCTGCCAGAAAGAACCCCAGCCACGTCCGTCCGCCGTCATTCCCATCCCTACTTCCCCTGGCAACTGCCGGGTCCCTGCCTGTCTCGGGGGTGCCTGTTCTGGACATTTCCAGGAAATGGCGCCATGCACCGCGCGGCCGCTGCGGCGGTAACACCCGCGGGCATCCCGTTTCCCGCTCCTCGGGGCCTCGTGCACAGAGCTTCGCCCTCCCACCACGGCGTAATGTGCATCGTGTGGGCGCCGCTCCCCGGTTCCGGCTCATCCCCTGACGCATGCGTGCTGCTGCGAGTGGGCGACACCCTGTGTCCTGGGGCTGGATCCCACTGGGGCCTGCCCTGCCTCCCTCTGGCACCTGTGTGGTCGGAACAGCCCCCACGGGCCCTCGGCTGCCCAGGCCCTGCCTGGCATGTGTGTCTCCAGAGCGTGCTTGGCCAGGCCATCCCAACTGCCTGCAGGCCTGTGCACAAATGTCTCAGAGTCGGAAGGGGGGGTGAGGGCCGCCTGCCCCCAGAGCTCCCCATGTCTGTCCATCCATCCGTCTGTCCTCCCTCTCTGGGCTCTGTCCCTCACTGGGCATCTGTATCCCAGGCAAAGACCGAATGGGAAGGTGCAGAGAGGAAGTCTCTGGAGGACCTGGCCAGGTGGCAGAAGGAGGTCGCCGCGCACCTGCGGGGGGTGCAGGAGAAGGTGGATGGCCTCCCCCAGCAGGTGGGTGAAGGCACAGCCAGACTCGGGGTACTTTGGCGCGGGACCCTCCCCCACCGCGCCCGTCCTCTCGCCTCCTCCCTCTCGCTGTGTGGGCGCCGAGGCCAAGGCCGGTCCTAGACTGTGCCCGCTCCCGGCTCTCTGTTCAGATAGAGGGTGTCTCAGACAAGTGCCTGCTCCACAAGAGTGATTCGGACCTCAGGATTTCCGCCGAAGGCAAGGCCAGGTACAGCCTCCGGGGCCCTGGGAGAGGGGCAGGGGCTCTGCTGACCGTCACTGGGCGGGGCCAGTCCCCACGCTGCTCTCCACAAGCCCCCTGGTGTCATGACAGATCTGTTGTTCCCCCTGAGCCTGGGCCCGGCCCAGCACTGAGCTCACCCTGCCACCCTGGGGCAGCCTCTGAGAACTCTCCCTCTACCACCTTCCCTCCTGGAGGGGTGACACAGCTGAGCCCCCTCGAGCCTCCTTAACCCTGTGGTGGCTGTGGGAGTAGCCTGTGTCCCCGGTCCTGGCCCTATCCCCGAGCACACCCCACAGCCAGCCCCAACATCTGATGCCCGCAGGGAGTTTGAGGTTGGGGCCCTGCGGCAGGAGCTGGCCACGCTGCTGTCGTCCGTGCAGCTGCTGAAGGAACATAACCCTGGGCGGAAGATCGCGGAGATGCAGGGCAAGCTGGCCACGGTAGTCCTGGGTCTGCCCGCACCCAGTTGGGAGAGAGGGGGAGCCACTGGGTTCAGACTGGGCAGCCGTGCAGAGAGGGAGGACCCCCGGCCTAGGGGGCGTTTTCCAGCCGGCAGGAGATGCTCAGAAAACCACCTGTCGGAGGCCAGGCGTGGTCGGTGGCTTATACCCATAACCCCAGCGCTTCGGGAGGCCGAGGCGGGCGGATCACCGAGGTCGGGAGTTTGAGACCAGCCTGACCAACACAGAGAAACCCCATCTCTACTAAAAATACAAAAATTAGCCAGGCGTGGTGGCGGGCGCCTGTAGTCCCAGCTACTTGGGAGACTGAGGCAGGAGAATCGCTCGAACCCGGAAGGTGGAGGTTGCGGTGAGCCGAGATCGCACCATTGCACTCCAGCCTGAGCGACAAGAGTGAAACTCTGTCTCAAAAACAAAAAACAAACCCAGTTGCCCTGGGCCACCCCAGCTTGTCTCAGCCTCTGGAAGTTCTAAGCGGAGGCACTTTGCCTGGAGCCCCCACACTGGGGCATCCGTGTGCAGCCACGAGGGCTGACACAACCCTGAGCCCTGGCCAGGCCCCCGCAGGGCCACTCTCAGGCTGCCCCTTCCTCAGCGGAGCTTGTCCCAGGCCCTGCGGGGGTGGGGGGGAGGGCGAGGACCAGCGTCTCAGCGGGTGGCCCCTGCCCAAGCTGTAAGCGGATATGGGGGCGCCCGTGGGGACAGCAGGATGCCAGCAGACTGGCCCTGTCTGTGGCTTAATTGGGGCCGTGTTTAGTTTCAGAACCAAATAATGAAGCTGGAAAACTGCGTCCAGGCCAGCAAGACCATCCAGAACCTCAGGTTCAACACTGAGGCCCGGCTGGTGAGAAGAAGGCCCTGCCCGGCCGGCAGCGCCCAGCTCCCACCCACTGCCTCGGCCCTGCCACCTCCCCGCCTGCCCTGCTGCAGGCGCCAGTGTCCATCTGTCCAAGTGTCTGGCAATGGGCATGGTTTCCCTGAAGATAAATGACTTCCAGGCTCTCGGTGGGAGATAAACCCCGTTTGCCGTCCCCTGCCCGGAGGTCTGGCTCCTGGGTGACACGGGCATCCCCGTCCCACAGCGCACACAGGAGATGGCCGCCCTGCGGGAGAGCGTGCTGCGGCTGCGCAGTGAGGAGGGCCCGCAGGCGCCGCTGGGCAGCCGGAAGCTGCTCCCATCCCTGGCAAGGCTGCGAGTCTTCATCAAGGACACGGCGCCAAACGAGGTGGTGCCCGTGAACTGCTGGGGCGTGTACCAGGCGGTGAGGTGGGCAGCAGGGATCCCGGCGCGGCCTCCTGGGCCTTTGGGTCCAAAGGGTCGGGGTTTGGGGCTGGGGGCCCGCGGGCAGCAGGTGGGCTGTGGGGGGTGGGGCAGGGGTGCAGGGGCCACGTGCCGCATCTCCGGACAGGTGGCTGCAGTGGAAGGCGTCCCTCATAAAGCTCAGGGCCCCGCGGAGGCCAGGAGGGGTCCCAGAGAAGCCCCACAGCCAGGAGCAGGTGCAACAGCTCACACCCTCGCTCTTTATCCAGAAATAAACGAACCAGCCTTGTACTCATTAGAGCTGAGGTTCCCCGATGCGTGCCAGTGAACAGCCTCCCCAGGGCCTGTGGGGTGAGAGGGGTGGCGAGGCCCCGGGCAGCGGGGGTGCCCAAGGCTGGAGGGAGCCAGTCTCTTGAGCCCCACAACTCTCCCTGTCATGCCCAAGCCCAGCCTGGCTTCAGGCTGTTGCTTTTCCTAGCACTTCAGCAGCCCCTCTCCTTCCCTGCCAGGCCCCCTAGGGCTGCCAGAGCCCCCTGGGGTGGAAGGGGCTGGGCTGGGGCCTGCCCAGAAGCACCTAGGCCTGCCCCCGCCAGGACCCCCAGTGAGCCACCCTGCCCGGGTTGTGAGGAGGACCCGGGGAAGCTCCCTGGTCTGGGGCTCTCTGGCTCTGCCTCAGAGCCACTCCAGCCCAGCACCCTGCCGTGGAAGAACCTTCCAGCATCTGTGGAGGAGACAGCCCTTGTCTGCTGTCTCGGTCAGGCAGTGGGCCCCTCTTCCTGCCTCTCCAAGGAGGGATGGAGGAGGCTGTTACCAGGAGGACGGGAAGAGAGTCCAGTGCCTCAGGGGCGGCCCCGCTGCCGCCAGCTGACTCCGACCCCAGTGCCTCGCTAGGCCTCGGCTGGCTGTGCCCCTTCCAGGGCTGGGGTTCCCCTGCCGGGCAGCTCAGGACAGGCCTCGGCCGACCAGCTGGCCAGCAGGTCGCTGAAGTCGGGCGTGCCAGGGTGCAGCAGGCCCAGGGGGCTAGGGGTCGGCTCCTTCCAGAAGGACGGGGGCAGCTTCCTCTGGGCCATGGGGGTGATGTGGCCGTACTTCCGCTCCAGCCGCAGGCTCCAGCTGGCCGCCGCCCTGGACCCCCAGTACTGCTGCAGCCCGTAGTCAAAGAGCTCGGCCAGGGGTCCCAGGGGCTGCGCCCTGTCCCCGCTGAGGCCCGGCCTGCGCACCTGCCCTCGGGAGACCCCGGGCTCCGGGGTGTGCTCGTCCTCCAGGGACCCGCCTCGGGCCAGGCACACCAGGTCCGCGTGGTAGAGCTCCCGGGCTGTGCTGCCGGCTGGGCGGCTGTCGGCGTAGACATCGCAGGCATCTGGGTCCTGCGCCTTGTCCTTGCGACCAAAGTACCGCTGGATGTCGTCGCTGATGAGCTCTGAGAAGCGTAGTAGCTGCAGCGGCATCTCGGGGCTGCTGGGACCCTGAGGGGCTGCCTCCTCCGCGGCCTCTGCCTGGCCTGAGTTCGGGAGGATCTGGCTGCAGCCCTCCAGCCCCTCGCCCTCCTCCTCCCCCTCCTCCTCCTCCCCCTCCTCCCCCTCCTCCTCCTCCTCCCCCCCCTCCTCCTCTTCCTCCTCCGAAGTCTCCGGGGGCTCTGGATCTGAGGGCAGGAAGGGGTGGTGGCGCAGCAGGGGCAGCTGGAAGTCGCACAGGGTCCGGATCACACCAGCGGCCATCTCCGCACGTCCCACGCTTCTGGGGCCTCCAGGGCAGCAGGGGCTGGCTAGGGAGGGAGGCAGAGGAGCAGGTTCCCTGTCAGGCCTGGCCATGCCCCCACCACCCTCGATTGCTGCACTCGGATCCCACCCATCTGTGGCCTCCCCCAGAGACCTTCCTCAGCTCCTGGGCTCCCAGTTGTGCTTGCTGAGGGCACGGATTGCCACCGGAGTGAGGCGTGGAGAGAGATGGGGTGGGCACTGTGGCCGCATGGCCGTGGCATGAGGGGAATGGCTGGCCAGGGGCTGAGACCTGCTGGACGGCTGGCCCAGGATGGTCAGTGGGTGGGATCAGTGGGGTCCTGTCATGGGGGGGCAGTTGGGGACACAGGGACATTGTAGGGACACTAGAATTGTGGTCACTTGGGAGGGGAGGATGCTGGGTGGGAGAGGGCAGTCCCTGGGGACGGGGCCTGGAGAAGACAGGTAGGTGGGCAGGGACCCCCGCAGGCCAGGGCAGGGGGCTGGGGCTGCTGAGCCAGAGCTGGGCCCCAGGTCAGGCTGCTTTGAATCAGAACCATGGCTCTTGATCAAAGTGGAGGCGTCAGCTGTGACTGAGCCCAGAGCCGCAGCCCCTGCGGGGTTCTTCTGGGCCGTCACAGTCCCAAGGGAGCGGGAGGCAGCACCCCAGTGGCCCTAAGTGGGGTGCCTCTGCGATGGTGAAGGCGGCTGGGGTGGGAGGTCCCTGGAGGGGAGGGTTCCAGGGGCCACTGCACTTGGCCAGGACAACTCAAGGGAGGCATCTGGATCAGGGGCCTGGCAGGAGGGTGTCTGGGCGGGGACTGTGGGGTGGGTGCAGCTCTCTTCTGGGCTAGCTGCCAGGTAGAGCCCACCACACAGACAAGGGCTATGCAACCCCTCCTCATGGGTGTCCCTGGGGCCAGGTAGCCTGAACCCATCTTGTCCAGAGCCTGCGGCCGGAGGGCGGAGGGAGGGAGTCGGCTGCAGGGAGGGGGAGGGCTGCGGGGAGCATCCACCGCACTGAGACAGGCGTTCCTCGGGGTCAGGATGTCCTCCCGCTGGCTGTCCAGAAGGCGAGCTGCGAGGCCCCCAGACCTGGCCGGCCCAGCTGTGGTTCTGATCTCACTCAAGTGCTGGGGTCCCCATCGCAGGAGACGTCCAGTGTCCTGAGTGCTGGACTTTGAGGCTGACTGCTCACGGACAGCCCAGACGCAGGTGCCCTCCCATGGCCGTCTGCCCGGATGCCAGCCCAGCCCTGGGCCAGCAGGACTCTCCCGGGGTGGGTGGTCCCCGCAGAGCCCTGGGCAGAAGGACTCACAGACTCCCCAAGTCCCCAGTGCTGTGGTGGTCCCCAGCAGCGCCCACCTCCCCCAGGCCCTGGCTCCTACCTGGCCGGGGCCACAGCTCTCGATCCACAGGCACACCCTCCACCTGGACACGAGCATTTATAGCCGCGCTCTGCAGCCGCCAGGAGCTGGCAAATATTTGGCAACAGCATTGTCATCGCAGACTGGGCAAATAGAGCCCGTTTGCTTTAGCGCCCGGCAACCAGGGCCCCGAGGGGGGAGCACACCCCCGGCCTCACCTGCACACAGCCTGCCGGGGGACTGTGGAGTGTTTGTGCGGGCGCAGCTGGCTCGCCCCCGGGCCCCGGGACCCTTATCTCTGCTGCTGACTGGGGCCCGGACCCAGCCTTGTCAAATAGGCGGAAAATTAAATTTCATGCTATTTTGAGTTCTGGAGTAGGCCTCTCTAGAGGGCATCCTGCCTTCGCAGCCAGCGGGGTGAACAGTGCTCCCGGCCACAGGAGGACCCTGGGGAAGGGGGAGGGGAAGGGAGCGAGGTCCCAGGGACCCCCAGCCAGGGCCCGACACCTGCCCAGCTCCCCTGGCCATCGGGACCTCCTGGACAACCGTGACCATCTCCACTGGCCCAGTGGTTACCGGGACGCCTCTGGACTGCCGCCGTCCACCTGCCCAGAGCTCAGAGGTGTTTGCAATTGATCGTTAATGGAGGAACCCCCTGCTTCCCCAGGCTTCTTCCCGGGGGCCTTCCTTCCTCAGTTGCAGCCACCCCTGGGGTGGGAATGGGGGGCTGGGAACCCTCCCCTCACCTACTGCTCCCAGGAAAGCCTCCCCCAGAAGTGTCCCCAAGGGCTTCTGCTGTTCCCACCGACTCCCTGGCTCCTCCTGGGTGTCCCCAGCTGGTCCGCTGTGGGGCCATGTTAGCTTCCTGCGACTGCTGTGGCCATGACCACAACCCCGGCGGCCTGGAGCACAGGGCGGGAGGCCAGAGGTCGGGTCCAGGGTCCCCAGGAGTGGCTCCTTGCCTCATGGTTGTGTCTCCCCAGTCTCTACCTCTATCCTCACAGGGTCCTCCCTGTGAGTGTCCTCTGCCCTCCTATGGGGACCCCGTTCCTGGATTTAGGGCCCACGCCCACCCTTTGTGCCCTCAGCTTCACCAGTTACACCTGCAGGGCCCCCATTTCCAAATGAGGTCCCACTGGGAGACTGAGGGTGGATAGCATTGTGGGGACATGGCTCAGGCCGCACAGGCACCGCCCACACGTGACTGTCCCTGACCTTGGCGTTCGCCAGGTGTGCCCCTGCTTGGCACTATGCTCCCCGGAGCAGCCCCCAGTGGCCCAGGTTGGGAGGACTCCACAGTGTCCTTCCCAGGGACTCCGGCTGTGAGGACGGGACAGCAGCCCCAGCCTGGCCTTGGCCCCAACACTCCCTGTCCCGAGCCCCCCAGCTCCTGGGCCTTCACCTTCCAGGGGCCAGGACGGTTCTGGATGCCACCCCCCACCCCAGTCCTCACCCCTACGTTCCAGGCATCCCCCAATCAGGTGGTAGACCAGCCCCTCTCAACTAGTGGCATCCAATACACAGGGATTTGGACACGGGCCGAGCCCTTTGCTGTACCTGGGGACCTGTGGCTGACCTGCCCCGATCTCGGGCACCTAGAAGGCAGGAGATCCCAGAGGGCCTCAGGCAGCCAGTGCAACCAGTCAGTGTCCGGGGGCTGCAGTCAGGACCCCTGGCTTCGAGGGAAGGGACAGGAAACGAAAAGTTCAAGCTTAAGAGTGAGATCCTGCAGAGGGCAGGCCGGCGGCCTCTACATGGTTCTCATGGTGAGAGGTGGGGTCACCTGCAGGTCCCAGGAGAGGCTGCTGAGTGTGGGGACAGGGACGGCATCGGCACAGCTGCCAGTTACGGCTTCTCCTTACTGCTCCTTCACAGGCAGAAACCGAGCCCACGCCCTGGTGAGCTCACAGCCCAGGTGACCCCACAGCCCAGTGAGCCCGTCCCCAGGTGAGGTGCATCTGGCCATACTCAGCCCTGAGCGTCCAAACCATGTAGGGGCCTCTGTCCCTGGCTTCATGGGGGCTGCCCTGAGACTCCAGGGTCTGAGGATGCTTTGCCAGCCTCACCAGCTCCCCTCTGATCCAGCCGTCATTGAGGACCTGCGGCTGCCCGGGGTTCAGGGCCCTAGACTCCCATCTCTGACCAGATACAGCCCCTGTCCCTACCGATCTGGGGAGCTTCCAGCCTGGGGCCCTGGGTGCGTCCGCCCTGGTCTGCTCAGAACCCCAGGGCCGGACCTGCAGAGGGTGGGGGTTCTGCCGCTCCTGGCAGTGACTGCAGCGCCCTCTGCCGCATGCCGTGGCATGGCCGGGGTCTGCAAAGGGAAGGGTGGGAGCCAGTCCAGCCTGGGGTCTGGCACTGCAGCCTCCCCCTCGCTGGTCTTAGCAGGGATGGTGTCAGCAGGGACCCCGAGGGAACTTTAGCACAGGACCCCGAAGGGCCCCTGTGTTCTGCCCTGAAGGGCGCGGGAGGCGGGAAATGGCGAGCCCAGGCTTCGGGCGCAGGTGGTCCCCAGCTCGCTGGGTTACCAGCCTTGCTGTCCTGTACACAGGGTGGGGAAATGAGACCCAGCCCCTCATGAAGGAGGTGGGTGTGGGGGCTCGACGGCCAAGCCTCGGGAAGCAGACGGGGTTCCCGCAGAGCGGACAGCCTGGAAACACTGGCCCTGTGATGGCCCCAAGACGTCCGCGCCCGAACCCCCAGCACTGACACAGCTGAGGGACCGCGGGTGTGGCTAAGCGAATGACCTTGAAACGGGAGATCACCTGGCGGATCCTTGTCGGAGGGAGGCAGGAGGCTGAGAGGATGGAAGAGGCCACGCTGCTGGCTTTGGAGCTGGAGGCAGCGGCCAGGAGCCGGGACGCGGGAGCCTCTGGATGCTGGCGGGGCGGGGGCTGTGGCTGCCTGAACCTTGGCGCTTCCCCCGCTCCTGGGGAGAAAGCCTCAGCGGGGTGACCTGCTGCTGCTCCTGCCCCGAGGCCCTGGGTTTTCCCGCGGTCCTCTGACTCGGGCGCTGGGGGCCTGCCTGTGACCCTGCCCAGAGCCGTCTGGATGCTCGTCTCTGCCTGACAAGAAACCACAGAGAAAACCCCAGTCTGGGATGGAAAATGCTAGAGTGGGCACAAACCGGAGCAGGCAGGCATTTGGGAGGAAGCGCTGGGGCAGAGCAGTGTGGGGCTGGCACGGACACGCCGGGAGCTGGCCGGAGGCTCAGGGGTGACAGTGCCACTGCACCGGTCCAAGCGGGCAGCGAAGGGGAATGCAGGGGTGGCCGGAGGGGCGAAGGTGGGATATGGGGACTCCCTGGGGGAGGGGTGGATGAATTAGCCGCTAGATGATTAGTCCCTTACCCCTGAGTGCTGAGACTCAGGAGGCCCGCAGGTGCCGGTGACTGCGGTTTCTGGTGAGGCTGGGTGGGGGCGGCAGCCTCTGGGGCATCTGGGACAGTGGAGAAATACACGTCCCACACCACCGCCTGCCTGTTTCCTGCCTGGGGTAGGACGGGCAGCCAGGGCCAGGCCGAGGAGCACAGGAGGCCCGGCAGTGGGGCTGGGCCCAAGCAACGTCCAGCATCTGCGGCCAGTGTGCCTCTCGGTGGGGGCAGCATCGGGCCCGACGGAGCTCCCAGCCCACAGCTCCCTCCCCTTGCTGTGGGGCCTCAGGCCCGGGAGGAAGGCGCTGCCCTTCTCAGTGCAGCATGCCTGCTGTGCCCACGCACCCCATCTTGATCTTCCTGGAGAAAATCAATAGCTCCAATATGCCAGCTCTCAAGAGGCTCTCACCCGCCATTAGGCACACGAGGGCCGCAGCCTCCGCCGACCATTAGCGGGACATTAGGCCTCCTGTGAAATGTCTCTGTGTGCTTTGAGATAAACGAAGGCTGAGGTGTTGGTTTACGTCCCTGGGGGAGGGGGAGGATGAGAGCCGCTTCCCGGGCAGGGCCAGCGCCAGCTCCACGTGGACGCGCCAAGGAGAGCAGGGCCCCGGGGACACAGGCGCCCCAGCACATCCGGCTGTGGCTTTTCCCACCCGGGGTCAAGCAAACACACAGCATTCGCGGGGAGCCACCGTCCACCAGCCAAAGGCCACTGGGGACAGATGGGCAGCATGGGAGCCGGCGGTGCGCTCACGCCTGGAGTCCCAGCTCCTCCACAGTGGGAGGACCCACTGAGCCCAGGAGTTTGAGACCAGCCTAAGCAACATAGTAAGACTCTTTCTATACCGAAAAATACAAAAATCTGGCTGTGCGCAGTGGCTCACGCCTGTAATCCCAGCACTTTGGGAGGCCGAGGAGGGTGGATCACCTGAGGTCAGGAGATCGAGACCATCTCTACTAAAAACACAAAAATCAGCCGGGCATGGTGGCGGGCGCCTGTAGTCCCAGCTACTCGGGAGGCTGAGGCAGAGAATCGCTTGAACATGGGAGGCAGAGGTTGCAATGAGCTGAGATAGTGCCACTGCACTCCAGCCTGGGTGGCAGAGCGAGACTCCATTTCAGAAAAAAAAAAAAAAAAAGATGCAGGAGGGCTCTGGAGTGGCTGCTGTCAGGAGCGGGGGCCCCTCTGGCTGGACACCTGTGTTTGTGTCTACAACCCTACAACCAACCGCCACACACTGGGTTTCCTCAGGGTTCCAGAGGACGCAGGTCCAAAGCCAAGACGTCAGCATCGCCTCGCTCCTGCCGGGGGCTCTGGGGAGAATCCGTTCCGTGCCTGTCTCCCTCCCCTGTGGTGGCCAACGCTCCTGAGCATGTCCGGGCTGCTAGCGCCTCACTCCAACTGCCACCGCTGTCATCGCCTTGGCCTCCCCGCGGGTGTCTCTCTCTGTCCTCTCCCCTCCTCAATGTGTGTCTTGTAATTTTTGTAGAGATGGGGTCTGTGTTGCCCAGGTTGGTCTCAAATCCTGGACTCAAGCAACCCTCCTGCCTCCTCCTCCCAAAGTCCGAGGATTAAAGGTGTGAGCCTCCACACCCGGCCTCTTCTCACCTTCTTGTAAGCGCTCTGGTCATTGGATTTAGGGCCCACCCTGGTCCACAAGTGCCTCGTCTTAACTAATGACGTCGGCAATGACCCTGTTTCCAGACAAGGTCAAGTTCTTGCGTTCTGAGGGGACGTGAATTTGGGGCACTGTTGAACCCAGGGTGGCGTCTTCCAGTCCTCACAGTGGGCTCAGTGGGACGGGGGATGCCCGTTTCACACTCTCCCCAGGTGTCTCATTTCTGTTTGAGACTGAGAGTAACGTGGTGGCCTGGCCCCTCAGAGGCTGGCCTGCCCCCGAGTGAAGCCTCAGCCCCTGCCTGTGCCTCCCAGCCCTGCCCCCGACTCCACTGTCCTCAGGCAGCTCGTGCTCAACTGCCCAAAACCATGCCAACCAGGCAGCTGCACCAGCCTAACCCAAAGGCTCCATGCCTAACTGCAGGGCCCTTCGATTTCCACCTCCTCCAGGAAGCCCCCCAGGCTGCACACCACGATGAGGCTGACCAGTCCTCCCCAACCACACCTTGAGCCCCCTCCTCCCACAACAGTGGGTGCTCCCAGGTCCCTACAAGGGGACTGGTTTGGCAGTGATTCCAGGTGGGGTTCTAGGGTAGAACAGGTGGGGCAGGGCCCGGGGAGGAGGATCTGGGCAAACAGGTGCCTCTGTTGACACAGCAGCCCCAAACACGGACTGGGGCTGGGCCGCCCAGGTGTTGCTGAGCTCAGGACACCTCCAGCCCCCCTTCCTGGCCTTGATGCCAAGAGCTCCTGGGGGAACAGAACTGGTCCCAGATCTGGTGCTTTTTCTGCTGGGAAGCAGGTGCAGAAGTTGGTGCTCCAGAGGCGAGCAGATTCTGGCTCAGGGGAAGGGGCTTGTCCAGGACCACCTGGCCACACACAGCGCAGCAGATGGGCCGAGGTCCCCGCCGCCACCCAGGTGGCAGGAGGGGTGACCTGCACTGGCAGTCAGGAGCAGGCCTTCTAGCTCTAGCCCCTTCCTGAGAGGAAAGAAGCACCCCACCTCCTTCCCGTTCACTGAAGGTGCGTCCAGGCTTCCAAATAATCTCGCAACCGGAATGGGTGTGAATTCCTCTCTGAAACTCTGGGCATAAGAAATGACACGTTTCTGTTACACAGACATATTGCAAAAATTAAAAAAAACAAAAGATGGACTGGGTGCGGTGGCTCACGCCTGTCATCCCAGCACTTTGGGAGGCTGAGGCGGGCAGATCACTTGAGGTCAGGAGTTCGAGACCAGCCTGGCCAACATGGCGAAACTCCATCTCTACTAAAAACTCAAAAATTAGCCGGGTGTGATGGCACCAGTAATCCCAGCTACTCGGGAGGCTGAGGTGGGAGAATCACTTGAGCCCAGGTGGCAGAGGTTGCAGTGAGCTGAGATCACACTATTGCACTCCAGCCTGGGTGACAACAGCGAGACTCCATCTCAAAAAAAATAAATAAATAAAATAAATTTTAAAAAGATGAAAACACACACACACACACACACACACACACGCAGAAATGACATGTTTTCTTTTCTTTTCTTTTTCCCGAGACAGCGTCTTGCTCTGCTGCCCAGGCTGGAGTGTAGTGGCGCAATCTTGGCTCACTGACACCTCCGCCTCCCATGTTCAAGCAGTTCTCCCACCTCAGCCTCCCGAGTAGCTGGGACTACAGGCGCCCGCCACCATGCCCGGCGAATTTTTGTGTTTTTAGTAGAGATGGGGTTTCACCATGTTGGCCAGGCTGGTCTCGAACTCCTGACCTCAGGTGATCTGCCCACCTTGGCCTCCCAAAGTGCTGGGATTACCAGCGTGAGCCACCGCGCCCGGCCTTATTTTCCAAATTAAAAAAAAAAAAAAAAAAAATTAACCAGGCATGACGGCACCCACCTGTAGTCCCAGCTACTTAAGAGGCTGAGGCGGGAGGATGGCGGGAGCCCAAGAAGTCAAGGCTGCAGTGAGCTATGATGGTGCCTCTGCACTCCAGCGTGGTCTTTTGAACAAGACCTTGTCCCAAACAAAAAACAAAAAACAAACTTGCTTCAGGCCTTAACTTCCCAGAGTTGAGAGAAATCCAACCTCAGTCTCACTGCACAGGGCCTCCTGCCTCCCCTACAGGCCCACCAGGAGACGGGGCTGCCAGGCGCTGGAGCTGAGCCTGGGGTCTTCGGGGGTCCCGCTGCTTTGGGGCGCTCCTTGTCAAGCCTTCATGGTGAGGGGTTAGTGTAGCTGCCAGAAGGTTTCATCCCACCTGCTGCACAGACAAAATCTATTCCCTGAGACCACAGCATTGTAGTAAAGAAAGACTTTAATTGACTTGAGGCGGGCCCCGCCACTCAGGAGACGAGTCATTACACACACCAGTCTCCCCAAAGGCGCCAAGGTTCGGGCTTTTCAAAGACACTGGTGGGGCTGCTGTGTCTATGGAGTAGCCATTCTTTCTTTTTTTTTTGAGACGGAGTTTCACTCTTGTTGCCCAGGCTGAAGTGCAGTGGCGCCATCTCGGCTCACTGCAACCTGTGCCTCCCAGGTTCAAGCAATTCTCCTGCCTCCGCCTCCTGAGTAGCTGGGATTACAGGCACCTGCCACCACGCCCTGGCGTAGCCATTCTTTTACTCCTTTACTTTCCGGATAAACTTGCTTTCACTTTTCTCTATGGACTCGCCATGAATACTTTCTTGCGTGAGATCCAAGAACCTGCTCTTGTATTTCCTGTAACGTATTTCTGTGGAACTGCAGAAGGGACTAGAGCGTGGAAGACCCTTCCCAAAGGCTAACTTTGGGAAAGTGCTGGGGTCCTGTAACATCCTTCTGGTGAACCCTGAAGGGACAATATTCAGGTGACCCCAGACCCATAGGAAATAGAAAAGGAAACTGACTCTGCAGCCCTGATTGGACGACTCTGGGTAAGTGGCAGGTCCCCGGTAAAGAATGGGATTGGGGTAGAGGCCCAACTTAGGGGAGTTAGGTAACTCCTAAAACAGAGAGGTGCATGGTGGCTCATGCCTGTAATCCTAGCACTCAGAGGCTGAGGTGGGTGGGTCACTTGAGGCCAGGAGTTCGAGACCAGCCTGGGCAATATGGAGAAACCCTGTCTTTACTAAAAGTACAAAAAAATTAGCGGGGTGCGGTGACTCACCTCCCAGCACGTTGGGAGGCCAAGGTGGGCAGATCACCTGAGGTCAGGAGTTTGAGACCAGCCTGGCCAACATGGAGAAAACCCATCTCTACTAAAAATACAAAAAAATTAGCCGGGTGTGGTGGTGCCTGCGTGTAATCCCAGCTACTTGGGAGGCTGAGGCCAAAGAATTGCTTGAACCTGGGAGGCAGAAGTTGCGGTGAGCGGAGATTGCATCATTGCACTCTAGCACAGGCGACAAGAGTGAAACTCCTCAATCAATCAATCAAGGCTGGGCGCGGTGGCTCACGCCTATAATCCCAGCACTTTGAGAAGCCAAGGCAGGTGGATCACCTGAGGTCAGGAGTTCGAGACTAGCCTGGCTAACATCGTGAAACCCCGTTTCTACCAAACATACAAAAATTAGCCAGGCATGGTGGTGGGCGCCTGTGGTCCCAAGCCAGTCAGGTGGCTGAGGTGGGAGAATCGCTTGGGCCCGGGAGGCGAAGGTGTAAGTGCTGAATGGGTTCACCTTACCCGCTGCCTAGACAGAGCCAATTTATCAAGACATGGGGGAGTGCAATAGAGGAGTAATTCACGCAGAGCTGGCTGTGCGCGGGACACAGGAGTTTTATTATTACTCTAATCAGTCTCCCCAAGCATTTGGGGATAGGAGTTTTTAAAGCTAATTTGGTGGGTACAGGCTTGGCAAGTGGGGAGTGCTGGTTGGTCAGGTTGGAGATGGACTCATGTTCACACTCCTCTGTTCCTGGGTGGCATGGCAGAACTGGTTGGGCCAGATTACCGGTCTGGGTGGTACCAGCTGATCCATCCAGTACAGGGTCTGCAAAATAGCTCAGGCACTGATCTTTGATCTTAGGTTTTTTTCTTTTTTTGAGACAGAGTCTTGCTGTGTCGCCCAGGCTGGAGTGCAATGGCACGATCTTGGCTCACTGCAACCTCTACCTCCAGGATTCAAGCGATTCTTCTCCCTCAGCTTCCCAAGTAGCTGGAACTACAGGCTCCTGCCACCATCCCAGGCTAATTTTTGTATTTTTAGTAGAGACAGGGTTTCACCACATTGGCCAGGCTGATCTTGATCTCCTGACCTCGTGATCCACCCGACTTGGCCTCCCAAAGTGCTGGGATTACAGGCGTGAGCCCCCACACCCGGCCTGATCTTAGTTTTTACAATAGTGATGTTATCCCCAGAAGCAATTTGGGGAAGTTCAGACTTTTTTTTTTTTTGAGGCGGGGTCTTGCTCTGTCACCCAGGCTGGAGTACAGTGGCGCCATTTCGGCTCACTGCAACCTGTGCCTCCCACGTTCAAGCGACTCTCCTGCCTCAGCCTCCCAAGTAGCTGGGAGTACCAGCGTGTGCCACCATGCCCGGCTAAGTTTTTGTATTTTTAGTAGAGACAGGGTTTCACCGTATTAGCCATGATGGTGTCGATCTCTTGACCTCATGGTCTGCCTGCCTAGGCCACCCAAAGTACTGGGATTACAGGCATGAGCCACCGCGCCCGGCCAGTTCAGACTCTTGGAGCCAGAGGCAGCATGACCCCTAAACCATAATTTCTAATTTTTTTTTTTTTTTTTTGAGATGGAGTCGTGCTCTGTGGCCCAGGCTGGAGTGCAGTGTCACAGTCTCGCCTCATTGCAATCTCTGCCTCCCGGGTTCAGGCAATTTTTCTGCCTCAGCCTCCCAAGTAGCTGGCATTACAGGTGTTCAACACCATGCCTGGCTAATTTTTGTACTTTTAATAGAGACAGGGTTTCACCCTGTGGGCCAAGTTGGTCTCCATCTCCTGACCTCGTGATCCGCCCGACTCGGCCTCCCAAAGTGCTGGGATTACAGGCGTGAGCCACCGCGCCCGGATAATTTCTAATTTTGTAGCTGATTTATTAGTCCTGCAAAGGCAGACTGGTCCTCAGGCAAGAAGGGGGTCTTTTCTGGAAAGTGCTGTTAACTGTGTTTCAGAGTCAAACCAAGAACTGAAATCCTTCCCAAAGTTAGCTCTGTCCACGCCCAGGAATGAACCGGGACAGCTTAAGGGTGGGAAGCACGACGCAGCACCTTAGTTAGGTCTGATCTCTTTCACTGTCACAACTTCCTCAGTGATAATTTTTGCAAAGGCGGTTTCAGAAGCCGCAGTGATGTGAGATCGCGCCACTGCCGTCCAGTCTGGGTGACAGAGCGAGTCTCTGTCTCATGCAAAGAACCAAACGGAAAAAAAAAAACAAAAACAGGGCTGCGCCACGGCCTGGGGGAAAGCCGGCAGAGAGGTGCGGGCGCCCAGCCCAGGACCGGCAGGGCAGGGCTGAGGGCGCGGACTCCACCCATGCCCCGAGCACCTTCATGACGGTTCAGAGCTGCTCCGAGGCAAACTCAGACAACTCTCTGAGGACGACGTCCGCCCCCGTGGCGTCCCGCCTCTCTTCGGGGCCAGGGACCCGGGTCTCGGTCCTATTCGAAAGGGACGGAGAACTACATTTCCCGGCATGCCGTCGCGTTCTCCGGCGGCGCTGGGGACTGCGACGGAAAAAGTTCGCCGCAGTTAAACGTCATTTCCGTTGCGCTACTGGAACCACGTTCTGTAGTCGTGAGCGGAGGCCTGGTATGGCGTCCGGTTTCCGATTTCCTCTTTCGGGCGACGGAACTGACGCCATCACGGGGCGCCACGGCGTCGAACGCGGAGTCAAGTCTGTAATGAACCGTGTCCTGTGTGCTCCGGCGGCCGGGTGAGCTCCTCAAGGTCTTGGAGGGTCGAGGGCAGGCACCGGCGGGCGGGCGGAGCGCTTACTGCTCTCTCTCTTCCAGGGCCGTCCGGGCGCTGAGGCTCATGAGCTGGGCTTCTGGAAGCCTTCATCCGGTGCCCCGTTCCCGGGATCTGGCCCAGCCTGCCGCCGTGAAAGAGGACGACCCTGACCGCCCCATTAAGTTTTCCTCCAGCAAAGCCAACCCTCGCCGCTGGTCTGTGGGCCATTCCACGGGAAAGGAACCTCATCAGCCCTCGTGGAAGGTGCTGCCCCTCAGTTTCTTCCTCATGGCGCTGGTCATCTGGTGCTACCTGAGGGAGGAGAGCGAGGCGGATCAGTGGCTGAGACGGGTGTTGGGAGAGGAGCCAGAGCCCCGTGATCGTTCTGAGGAGCCTGAAACTCCAGCTGCCCACGGAGCGAGAAGTTAACGGGGTGGCCGCTGGGGCTGGCAGGAAGGGAGCTGACAGCCGCCCTTCGGATCTGATGTCACGTTTGTCCGTGACTGTCCTGGCTATGCGTGCGTCCTCCGCTCTGAAGGACTTGGATGGTGGGTGGAGCACTTGGTTAGGCTCATCCGCGTGAAGGCGGAGTAGAATCTGAGCAAATCGGAACCTGCTCCTTGCCTGTCGCTTGATGTCCAAGGATTCCATCCGCAAGACCTTTTTTCAGATCCTTAGGAAAGGTTTCAGTTGCACTGTGTGCTGTTGGATTTGCCCAGTCTTTGTATAACATAATCATGTTTCCAAAGCAATTCTGGTGACACTTGTAATCCGGTGTTAGTGTGCAGGTAATTTGCTTTCTGAGATAGATTGGCAGAAGTGTGAAACTTTATTACATACTGTGTGGCCTGTGTAAAGAACACTTCTCCATATTAGTTCTGCACAATAACAAATTGAAAATAAATTTTAATTTTATATTATGGGGTTAGATGATTCCTTTTCGCATCTAGTTTTTAAAAAGGGGGTATTTTAGCAGTTATTGTTTTTTATTTTAATCTTACCAGAGCACATAAGTTACTTGCACCAGCAGGTATCTTTAAAAGTTTCGTTTTCCTTTTTTTTTTTTTCCCCCTGAGAGTGGGAACTGAGGAAAGAAACCTACAGATATATCACCAAATAGTACCAGAAATGAGGCACTTTTGCAGTTTTCTGCCAAACTTTTTAAGCAAGGCAACAATTTTCTGAGTAGAATACAGCTTATGAGTATTTCTTTTCACAAATGATGGGCACTATTTTGGGTTACCTAAGTGATACTTGTTGTTGTTGTTTTTTGTTTTTCATTTTCGAGACGGTCTTACTCTGTCGCCCAGACTGGAGTGCAGTGGCACAGTTTTGGCTCACTGTACCTTCTGTCTCCTGGGTTCAAGCGATTCTTCTGCCTCAGCCTCCCGAGTAGCTGGAACTATGGGCTTGTGCCACCACACCCAGATCATTTTTATATTTTCAGTAGAAACTGGGTTTTGGCATGTGCCAGGCTGGTCTCAAACTCCTGACCTCAAGTGATCTCTCCTCCTCGGTCTCCCAAAGTGCTGGGATTACAGGTAGGAGCCACCGTGCCCGGCCCCAGATTCTTTTGTCTCTTTTTTTGAGGTGGAGTCTTGCTCTGTCACCTAGGCTGGAGTGCAGTAGTAGGATCTTGGCTCACTGCAACCTCCGCCTCCTGGGTTCAAGCGATTCTCCTGCCTGAGCCTCCAGGGTAGCTTCAGTCACAGGCGTGCGCCACCACACCCGTCTAATTTTTGTATGTTTAGTAGAGATGAGGTTTCGCCATGTTGGCCAGGCTGGTCTTGGATTCCCAACCTCAAGTGATCTGCCCGCCTTGGCCTCCCAAAGTTCTGGGATTACAGGTATGAGACACTGTGCCCAGTCAATTGTTTTCATACACATATACATATACATTTTTGACAATGTGACTGTCCCACATGCAGCAGATCCCAAGTGCCTCCAGGGCAGTGATCTGGGAGGGCTTTTCCAGTTGCTGACCTCACACCTGTGCCGTGGACAGACCCAGGGCCAGCTGGGGATGGTGGGCGGATCTTCCCTACTCCTGGAGTTTTCAAAGGGTGGTAACAGAGCAGGTTGATAGGTGAACAGTTAATTCAGTACAGTTAGTATTTATTATTATTAGTTTTTGAGATGGAGTCTTACTCTGTTGCCTAGGCTGGAGTGCAGTGGTACAATCTTGGCTCACTGCAACCTCTGCCTCCCGGGTTTAAGCACTGCTCCTGCCCCAGCCTCCTGAGTAGCTGGGATTACAGGCACACCACCACTCCTGGCTAATTTCTGTATTTTTAGTAGAGACAGGGTGTTGCCATTTTGGCCAGGCTGGTCTTGAACTCCTGACCTTGGGCGATCTGCCCACCTTGGCCTCCCAAAGTGCTGGGGTTACAGGCAGGAGCCACTGCACCCAGTTGTATTTAACTATTTTTGTAGTGTGTTTGTCATGTTTTCCCAACTGGGCTGTAGGTTTTATTTTCCCTAGGGTACATGGCACACTGACCTCCCCAGATAAGCATTTGAGAGGGAGACCATTGTAAGCATGCTAGAACAGACGTAACTGCAGCGATACTTGAGATGACATAGCTGGGCAGAAGGTGGAAATTGTTGTTTTTTTTATTTTTTATTTATTTTATTTTTTTTGTTTTTTTTTGAGGCGGAGTCTCGCTGGTCTCCCAGGCTGGAGTGCAGTGGCCTGATCTCGGCTCACTGCAAGCTCCGCCTCCCGGGTTCACGCCATTCTCCCTGCCTCAGCCTCCCAAGTAGCTGGAGACTACAGGCGCCCGCCACCTACGCCGGCTAGTTTTTTGTATTTTTAGTAGAGACGGGGTTTCACCATGTTAGCCAGGATAGTCTCGATCTCCTGACCTCGTGATCCACCCGCCTTGGCCTCCCAAAGTGCTGGGATTACAGGCTTGAGCCACCGCGCCCGGCTTTTTTTTTTTTTTTTTTTTCCCCAGGGTGGAGTCTCTGTCACCCAGGCTTGAGTGTGGTGGTGTGATCTCGGCTCACAGCAACCTCTGCTTCCGGGTTCAAGCAATTTCTCTCCTGCCTCAGCCTCCTGAGTAGGCGGATTACAGGCGCGCACCAACTGCACCTGGCTAATTGTTTTGTATTTTCAGTAGAGACGGGTTTCACTATGTTGGCGAGTCTGGTCTCAAACTCCTGACCTCAGGTAATCCACCCACCTCGGCCTCCCAAAGTGTTAGGATTACTAACGGGTTGAGCCACTGCGCCCGGCCAGAAATTGTTTTAAAACGAAAATTCTTTCAAGGAAATATTAGCCCAAATGGTCACATCTAAACCAATGAACTGTCTCAGAAGGTCCTGCCAGTGCTGTGCATTTTGTCCCCAAGAAAAGTAAAACACTTATAATTCACAGTGAAAAACCTGGGGTTGGCTGGGTGCAGTGGCTCATGCCTGTAATCCCAGCACTTTGGGAGGCCCGAGGTGGGCGGATCCACGAGGTCAGGAAGTCAAGACCATCCCTGGCTAACACGGTGAAACCCCCGTCTCTACTAAAAAAATACAAAAAATTAGCCGGGCGGCGGTGGCGGGCGGCTGTAGTCCCAGCTACTGGGGAGGCTGAGGCAGGGGAATGGCGTGATCCCAGGAGGCGGAGCTTACAGTAAGCCGAGATAGTTCCACTGCACTCCAGCCTGGGTGACAGAGGAAGACTCTGTCTCAAAAAAAAAAAAAAGGAAAAACTGGGGTTATTAAAATCTGGTACCACCCTGGGTTTTAGAGAACATTTCTTCCAAACGCATGAAAAAAAAATGATACTTTCAATAAGCCTTACATCAGTTTCCTTTGATTTCTTCAAGGAAGATGCCCCCGGGGTGTGGAGGAACAGCAGGCGTCTTCACTCATACGTTTATAGCAAAGATCCCCAAATTCCTAAACCCTAAGGCCTCAAATCCTTTTCCTAGCCTTAGCAGGCTCCATAGACACCTCTGCTGGGCAGCTCACAGGCTCCTTAAACTCCAAAATGGAATTAATCTCCCCCAAACCTGTTGCTTCTCCCTTGTTCTGTATTCCTGCAAGCCAGAGACCTGGGCATCATCCTAGACTCCCTTTCCACTCTAGCAGCGCGCTGGAGTCTCAAGATGCTTGTTTTAATTCCTTCTCTGAAGAACTCGCAAGGCCCTGTCCTTCCTGCTTGACTTCATTTTCCCTGCGCTTGACTCAACTTGAAATAACCATTTTCTTCATTAATCATTTTAATTTTAAGATTTAAATATAATGTTTGTAGAATAATTCATTTAGGAAAACGTGAACCTGGCTGGGCCGCTGTGGCTCATGCCTGTAATCCCAGCACTTTGAAAGGCTGAGGCAGGTGGATCATCTGAGGTTGA